TATGAGGGAATTATAGACAGTAGTAGGATTAGAGCTTATGATAAATAATCAATTTCATTATTAGTTAGGGTTAAAATAATTATGTTTAATTTTTATTCAATTATGTTTATGCTTATTTATAATCCATTACTTGTACCATTACATCGAGACAGTTAGGGTGTGTTATGGATATTATGATTTCCATTTGTACCCCTATGGACACTTCAATCCATTATGTATGTTATGTCGTGCTTATTTAAACTATTATGAATGTTATGCCTCGCTTATTTAAACCATTATGAATTATGATTATTATGATTTGTTTATTTAACTCATTATGAATTATTATTATTATTACTGTATGTTTTAAACTTTAAAGGAAAATGTTCATTTCAAATATCCATTATGTTATGTCTTATGAAAGTCATGAATGTTAAATATCTTAGTTATGTAATTAATATACTGTAATATTAGGTTGATCGAGGACGATCAGACGTGTCAGGATGGCCGAACTGTAGTCTTATTTGAATTTCGCGCCATTGACAGATCTGATTGTCACTCAATTTGAAAAAAAAGAAGATAACCACACACTTTATGTTTAGACTTGAGACTTGTGATTATGAATTATGGCCATCTGAATGTTATGAAAACTATTATGTCGAATTATGTACAATTAGTGTTTCTTTCCGCTAAATAAACTTAAGAAAACTAGAACAATATTATTTATTAACGGAGCCTACATAATAAGTGTAGGTACTATATTTTAAGTGTAATTGTTATTTTTATCTTATTATGTATTAATGTTATATATCGATTCCTTTTGTATGCATTAGGGCTTTCCCTATTTTTGAATAAATAAACTTCTTCTTTTAATTACTATATGTTCATTGGTGCAAGTACATGATGCTGACATTTTTTCAAAAAATCCCCAATTTGAGGATATTCTGAAAGATGGTAAGTTAAACATTAATCTAATCTAATAAAGCAAGTTCAAATTTTATGTATTCAAAATAAAAGCATTAATCTATGGAAATTCTTAAATTAAAAATACAAGTATAATAACCAACTTAAGACAAACAGCTTACTCCTTCTAAATGTATTCAATTAAAGACTATAAAGTGCAGATGCATAGTAAACATGCAACACTTGAGAAAAGCACTCTGCTGAAACAGCTGTAAAGAATACAAATTGTAGTAAATTTTGTTTTTGTCAAAAGTTTTTGTCAAAAGTTTTCAGTATTTTATTCTTAGATATTGTTTTTCTGTTAGCCAATTGACATACAGTAAAGGTCTAAATACTCAGTAAACAATATTAACCAGCTTTAAAATTTAAATAGACTTTATACTAATTTTTACCTTGTGACCAGCCCCTCCTACACTAATAATATCATCTGGATTTAGAGCTTTTAAAGAATCATTTACCATACCATCACGATGAGATCTAAAAATAAAAAATAAAATAATATTTCCACCAAAATCAAATGTAGATGATACAAAATAAGTGGATAATACTGATAAGGTCCATTCGCTTAGCTCAGGAATATTTGGACAGATTCATAGTCAGAAACCTACAACACAAAAATTCCTACTTCTCAGTATTAATAGCTCAAATATACTACTTTTGCAGACTTCTTCCTTTGAAAAAAGAAGAATTATTTTAAATAGTGGAAGTGTATACTAAACCCACAAAATTCTCCCTGTATATTTAAAATATAATCTTTGAGTTGTTACAATTTAACATATTGTAGTAAATATTTGTATTATTCGTATTGTTTATTTTATTTAATATAGTTTTATTATTTTATTATTTTTGTTTAATTCTTTTGTTAGTTCTATTTAGTTAATAAGTTAGTTCTATTTTGAATTTTATTATTATGGATATTCAAAGCTTTCCATTTGTTCCATCAACTAATGCGTTGGTAAGTTCTTCTTTAACAAATATGATAAAATGTTCATGATAAGTTGATATTTTGAGATGAGTAAGGATGCTGTTAAATTACAAGGTAATGAAACTGCACAAAGGATTATTCAAAACGCCTACCATTTTTTTAAATTATTTTTCAAATGAAAACTGTTGAAATAAGTTGATCATTAAAATGTATTCATCGAACTATGTAAATGTTACAAATGTTCTTAATAACAATAACATTTCAGTTAACATCCAAATGTCTGAAAGTCTCAGAAAAAAGTGTGTGTAAATATAAAGTTGGGCCTAATAAAACACTCACTTCAAAGAAGAAAAGTCACAAAAGGAAATTAAATGATAACAGTGTCAAAAATTAAATTCGATAAAATTAAATTAAATTAAAAAAAACATTACCAATAAAAGGGAGTTACTTGAAACACTCATACATGAGTGGAACCATAATTCTCACCTCCAAGAAACTATTCAAGCCTGTATTGAGAGCATGCCTCGACATATTCTAGCTCTTTTAGCATCCAAAGACATACATAAAAAATCCCTACTTTGTAAAAATTATATTTTTTTAAGAAATAAAAGTTATTTGTTAACTTGTTTAGTACAGTTTAATTACCTAAGAGTTAATATTCACAAAAAAGAACAAAACAGTAATTTTTTTTAAACATAATAATCATGAGAGAAATAACTTCATACAGTAAATTTTTTCTTCCTTTTGGCCTAATAATTTGGCCAGGTACTGTACTAATATTAATGTTTGTATTTTGAGAACAATTTCTGAAGTGGATATCGAAATGCCAAATAAACTCATTTTAAAGTAAAGTTCTGGCTTTCCAACAAAAATAGTAAATTTCGCAGTTTCTTAATTAAAAAAAAATTAAAAAGTCTCACCTTGATGTAGTTATCACAAATTTACTGCTAGGTGGTTTAACTGGTTCAAAGCCTCCTACTCCCAGACCAACTAATCCCCAAAAAGTCCTACCAGGACCATTTTTAACCTTTTTATATTCATAATAAGGCTGATATATTACACCACCTACTGCTTTGCCACCTACAGCTATTCCTATTAATACTGTAACATGATCTAAAAGACCCTAAAACAGTAATTCATGAAGTTAGTAGTGAAGGGGTCCTATAATATCAGAAAACTAATACATTTGATATAACTGTTTAAAAAACATTTAGATCTTAACACATTAAGCCCCAAAACATAAGCAAGATCCTTTAATCTCAGATCAAACGAGACCAGACACTTAATGATAATATACTGTGGGCCAAATTGGTAGGCTTGGTCTGTTGTAAAAACAAGATGATAGGATAGTCACTGTGTTAGCTATCAGATATAGAAACTTTGACAGTTGAAACTAAGACAAAATTCTAGCTCATACAATAAAATTTAGTACATGTTTTTCATCTAATAATAAAAACTTCAATTACCTCTGTATATTCAGAAGTGCCATCCAATGGGTCTACCCATACAACAATATCTTCAGGTTTAACATTAACATACTTTTCAGGGCACTTTGATTGTAAAATGTTCTGATCACTTTCTGTAACAACCCAATCACTAGGAACCTACACCATTAGAAAAATTAACATATTTTCATTATAACCTATTTAAATTATACTAACTTCTTCACTCTCATCTAATGGTCCTTCCTCTCCGATAATAGTCACATTGGGAAATTGTTTTGCAAGGGAAGTTATAATACAGAGCTGTGCTGATCTATCAGCTTCAGTCTGAACATCATTTTTACTCAAACCCTGAAACATTCACAACAAATTCGAATATTGAAATAGTTAAATCATGAGGGCATAGATAATAAATAACTAATGAAATTTTAAAATAATCTAAAACCATTCTAGTTTATGTTTTTGTTGCAGTTTTTAAGTCCTTATGCTTTTATCAAATGTAGAGTATATTCTTTGCTTTTATTTAACTTTATATTAGTATACCTACTGGCATGGGTCACATGACAGTTAGTTGATATAATAAGATATTAATTTTATGCTTTTACCTGTCTTGTTAAACATTATTTCTATTATTATCATAAAAGGACAATTGAAAGTGCAAAATATTGTTACCTTATCCATAAGAATGTGATCTATACCTTATGTATGATTCCCAATTCACCTTTTTCCATCACATCTTTAATAATAGAGCCAGCTCTTCTTGCTGTACTAACGGAAGAGGCTAAAAGCCTTAAAATAAGTGGAACACTCTGGCTGGACATCTTTAACAGAAAATTGTAGTTTGCAAACTAAAACAAATTATCAATTATATCTATACCGTAACAAATTTTGATAATTCCTTTATCAAGATCATACGTGTAAAAAATAGCGGTTTTGTTTGTAAAATTTAAATACAAGGACAAGGTCAAGTATTTTATTCAATATGTTTTTTGGTTTGGATTTTTTGAACGGACCTTCACCTGTAAAAGAGGTTATGCCTGGCTGAATATGCAAGTCAATCGAGACGAGATCACCTCGCCCAAGAAAATTGTCGTTTTTAATAACCGTAACCAAATCTCCAATTTGAACTGTCCATAGATAAATAATATAATAGTAGAAAGAACTGTCCTTCTATTCTATATGCGTCTGCATATACTTATAGTCTTTGCTTTTTTTCTTCTTCGTCTAGCCATTCATGTCCACATCTGAACATAAGCCTCTTCAAGTCTTCCTTTCCATTGTTTTTTATTGTACGCTACTTGTAGCCAATTTTTCCCGGCAGTCCTTTTCAGATCATCTGTCCATCTCAGAGGAGGTCTGCCTCTGGGTCTTTTGTGTTGGTAATCTTTGCTTTTACATCCAAGATATTGTTGGTGTAAAGCCCGCATCTCTTCACAAAATACGATTTTCTGCTCAACTCAAAATCATTACTATTAAATGCCATTAAATATGCCATTATCTAGAACATGTAAATACGGTAAGGGTTTACACCAGAACAGACACAACGGGCATGGGCATTTATCCTATTTACAATATAAAATAATACAATGTTTTTTCGGATAGTGATGTAGTGATCTCAGTTCGTCGCCGAAAAACGTTGTTCGGTGATTGCGTTAAGGTAATACAAAAAGGAAAAGAAGAAGTTATAGGGAATACTGGAATAGGTTATGTTGATTATTTTGTTTACTTTATTTTTAAAGTTACCAATTTTCAACCAAAGTATGCAGCAAAGAGAAGAAAAACAACTTGAGTCTGCTTTGGACGCGATTATTCAAAGAGTAAATGATTTGAAACAATCAATAGCATCAATGATATTTAAAATTGAAAATGAATATGATGCTATTAATTGGCCAACTTTTTTGGATAATTATGCTTTAATATCAGGGCAAGTAAGTAAAATTGGCCTCTTATTGCAACAACCTGCACTTTCTTTAAATTCTAGAAACTCTGAATTGATTCCCATAATGTCTTTAATATATCTCTGCAACCATTTATATTCAATTATGGCCAAAATTTGGGTTAAAAAAATATTGTGTTAAAAATTCTAATTATAGTAAAAATTAGTCAAATGTCCTTGTTCCCTACATGTACTAGGTGGCCAACCGTGGTGGCCAACTAAGTAGCACTCTCAGACATATTTCAATAATGGATTATATTAAAGTAGTAATACTGAAATTGCTAAGACTAGCATTAAAAACGTAATTAACCATAATTTTACTAAAAATCCTAAATTATAAGGAAGTCTTATATGTACAAAAAAATCACTTGAAGGAATTTATGAACAAATCTATTAAGTATCTCTCTAGTAGCATGTCACTTGGTTGTTTGTGTGAATTTTATTGGACTAATATTAACTTTGACTGTATTAATTTTAGTTAACATCTCTTTCCAAAGTAATGAGTCATGATAAATGTCCAGTGTTAAGAAATTTAACTGTTTTACCACTAATGTTATCTCCTGAAAGAGATGAACAACTTGCACAAATTACTGAACACAGAGTAACAACATTTGCTCATGACTTAGTTCCTGATTACCTTAGAACAAAGTTAGAACCAATGGCAGAAACAAAAATGATGCAATTGGAAAATAAGGCTTTAAGTTTGCAATATGATAATGCTCAGGTAAGATCATCTATCTAATAATTTTCAAAAATTCTTTTTTTATTAAAAATAAAATAATTAAATATAATTTATTTTTGATATAACTTTTTTTGTTTCCTATTAACAGCTACTCATAACTAAATTAAGATCTTATTTTAGAAACAAATTGCAACATATCAGAAGGTTGTTTCCCATGTTTGGGATATTGTGAGTAAAGCAAGAGAAGAATGGGAGGTGGAATCATCATCTAGAGGAAATACGCAGCAAAATTCAAGTGTTGCCGACACACAGCTTTTAGTGACTGCAGTTGGAATGGGCAAAGGATTGAAGGTAGCAAAAAATTGTGAATTATAGATTTGATTTATGTATGGTTTTAGATTAGATTAGAGTAAGTGAGAGCGCCCACCAAAGTGGCGTGGCACATAGCAAGTGGCAAGTAGCACGCGTCTAGCATATTTCTTAAAATGTAACCAATGAAAACGAATGATTCAGTGTAAAACCAAAATGACAGTGACGTCATTCATTCTAATCATTCGTTTTCATTGGTTACATTTCATGAAACATGTTAGACGCGTGCTACTTGCTACGTGCTACTTGCCACGCCACTTTGGTGGGCGCCCGCCCTAAGAGAGGTGGCCTTTCAGCCTACTCCACTGCTACCTTTTCAGATCTATTGTGGTCCTCTAGTCCTAGATAACATTCTCTAGCCTGACCCTTTTTATAAAGTCTAGTAGCTTCGAGACTGTACCTTCCAGGTAGCTCTTTGCCAGTGGATTTTCTTCTCCTAATGCAAAGAACTGCACATTTTCCAGACTGTCACACTGACAGGTAACAAAATCGGCATAGGTCATCATCTGCTAATGCCCTGTTAGAAAACCTACTGTAAGAATGTCTTTGACTGTTTTCCTGTCTTTGTCCTGGTGAATTCCTCCACCATTCCAGAGATTTGTGAACTACCTACTTCCTTGTAGCTGTTGTTGTTACTGACTTTGCAACACTGCAGAAGGGTTCCAGTCCAATGAATGGCATTGATGGGCCTTGTTTGGCCATTTCATCTGCTTTTTCATTCCCCTTATGACCTTCGTGTCCCGGTACTAAGGCTACCATAACCTTGCTACAGTCTCCTAGTTTATTTAGGGCACACACACAATCCCATACTAGCTTAGAATTGACCTCTGCAGAATTGAGTGCCTTAAGCGCTGCCTGCCTATCTGTGAAGATAGCAACTGAACAGAACATTCTTTCCTGCCTTTCTATTTCTTCCACGAAGTGATGAATTGTAGTTATTTCCGCTTGGAAAACTGTCACATCCTTAGATAGACTTACCAGGAAATGTATCTCTTGAATTATCTCTACTATGCCGGCTCCCACATCCTCCGATGTTTTTGAGCCATCTGTGTACCAGGTAGCAGCAGATTTTATAGGTACACCTTTATTCCAGTCTTCCCTGTCTGGTATCTTAATTGTAAATTTATTTTTAAAGCTATATCTCGTAGCTGTTGCATCGATAGGTTTCCCCATCACAATATCGGCTTTTAGCTCCTTGATTAGCTTTCTGTTGTCAGTACCATGCATTTGGGTTATATGTCGCTGACTATGGATTAATCTGGCTTCACCCTGTATAAATATATGAAGTAATAGATTCAAAATGACTTCCAACAATGCAGTAGGAGTGATTTTTATGGCCCCCTAATACACTGGCATGCTAGCCTTTGTGTATCACCTAGCAGCCTTATTGCTCCCATTTTGCTGCGTCTTTGTCCACCACGTCACCGAGCCATAGGTTATCATGGGTCTAATATCCCTTGTGTATACCCATGGAGTCATTTTGAGTTAAGTCCCTAATTCTTACCTCACATTCTTCTACATTTGCCCAGGGACATAGAAGCTTTCTGTGTGGTCTTAAGAATATGAGTATTCCATGTAAGCCTATGATCAAAATATACCCCAAGGTATTTTGTTTCTTTGGCAAATGAAATATATGTTCTTCCCAGCTCCAGTGGTTTTAGGCCTTGTAGTGCTGTTGGTGAAGTTGACGATTTGTGTTTTTTCAGCATCGACTATCAGTCTCTCTTGTTTACACCAGTCATCAACTATATTTAGGGCTGCTTGCATTCTCTCAGACACCACCTGAGCAAACCTGCCTTTGACAATAATTGCTATATCTTCAGCATATCCTAGATAATAAAAGCCTCATGTGGACAAATTTCTGAGATCATCTACCAAGGTTGCCCAAGGTAGAGGGGAGACAACTCCTCCCTGTGGACAGCCTCCACCTACTTTTGCTTTGATGGTTGTTTTACCCAGAGTGGACATTACTATCCTATTCTCCAGAGATGCCCTTATTCATCTGCATATTTCTGCAGGTGCTCCTCATCTACTCGTAGCTCCTATCAAAGAGCTAGTGGTAACATTATTAAATTCCCCTTCTATATCTAAAAAAGCGGCCATTGCTATCTCTTCCATTGACTTTGAGATAAGTCAATGATAAGTCAGATTGATATCTATTATACGCTATTATTAAATAATAATGCACACTATGTGCACACTTGATATTTTGATTACAATTAAATATATTAATCTAACCAATAAATTATTATTTTGTTTTGATAGCACCTGGAGAGTATAAAATACGGAGTAATATTTTCAGCGACTCGCGAATAAGAAATTTTAAATCAAAATGTGATAACAGTTGAAGGTGCTGAGAATGTGACCTATTGAAATAATTTTGACTACACAATTTTATGTAAATAACTGAGTCCATCTGTGTTTATATGTCCATGCCGGGATATCTATAATCTCCTCGCAAAACTCTCTCCATGAATTCCTTTTAGCTTTCCGGATTTCTTTATTTTATAGCGTTAGCTTATATCTGTAGGCATCCAATCTTGGTTACTTTTGGCTTTATGAAATAGGCTTCGGACTTCCGACCTCATCCTCTTTAAGCCGTTGTTCCACAAGACTGTATTACATCCCGTAGTTTTCCTTGTTTTTTTCTGGACAGTTTTCCTGGTAAGCCGCCATAATAGCTTCGCTTATCGTTTTCTGCCGCCGAAACTATAACCACTGGGCTTTTAAACAAGATTATACTTTCCTCGAGATTTTTACTGAGGGACTCCCTATATCCTACCTAGTTTGTATCTCTAGGATTTCTATATTTAATTTCCGATGCAAAAATATCAAGGTCAAATCGTATATGTCTGTGATCCGAACTTGTTTCCTATATTGGATATATCCAAACCATCAGTCAAAATGAATTTTTTTTTATGTATGGTAGTATACTGATCCTCTTATTTAAAATTACGTCGGTATCATAATATAACGTAAATACATCTAATTCCCATCACAACTTTCGATGATTAAACACTGTTGGCTCTGACAGTCTGGTCGCACACTCAAATTATTTTTTTTAAATAATTAACTTGTATATTTCAACTATTAGAGTGAGAATCTACTATTTGAGCAGTTTTCCAGTGACTTATTTTACTCCATTTTTGCTATATAAATTCGTCATCAGCTATTTTTTGAATAGTTTCATAATTATTTGTATCTTTTCTAAAACAATCAATGAGCTTCACTTCGCATTTTCTTTTTTCAATACTTTGTTTTATAGACATCTGCATATAAATTCGAATTTACTTTAATCATTTACAATAATTTAGTATTAAAATTCTTTTATTTTTTAGATGGGTCCAAGTCCAAATGGTCAAGCAAATCCAACATCTGGTGGAATGATGGTAACACCTACAGGAAGACCAGGGGGTCCACCAGGCCCTGGTCAGATGCCACCTACTACTCAAGCTATGGCGATGAATAAAGCTCCGTCTGCGATAAAAACAAATATTAAAAGTGCAGGTCAAATGCATCCATATGGTCGGTAAATAGTTCTCTATTATTATTGTGTGGACTTTTTAAGTTAAAAAGATATTGCAGTAATTATTTATTTTAAGCTGATAAAAACAAAAAAAGTTGTGTTAGTGTAGTTAGAGCGAATTTTAGATTTAAAATAACTTAATTAGTGGATATTATTTAAAAATGTAAATTATTGAAAATAATATGACCTATTTTTTTCAGTTTCTAATTTTAAGTGAATTTTTGTTGTAAAAATGAGTTATCTTTTTTTATAATATTATATATAATTATTTTATATCTCCGAAGAATAAATGTATGAATTTATATAATAAATAAAGCGATATAAACTGAATTTTGTTGTTTTTAAATTCATAGAAATATGATGAAATTCTTACTCAATGGTTTAGATACCTTAAATCTCCCTTAATACTGTTTTTATTTTATTATACATGTTAAGGCAATTTTGTGAGCGGCTCAATTTTTTTGAGGTTAGTGTACTTTTGATGCACCCGCGGTAACAGAATAATCAGTAGAAAGTATTTGGCACACCTTCAAAACAACAATCACAACTATACAAACAGAACAACTACATGACAGCACTAAAAAATAAACAATACATGGATGTCAGAAGAAATCCTAGAACTGATGGACGTAAGAAGATCTTACAAAAACCGCAATGAAGTAAAATATAAAGAAACCAAGGGAACCATCCGAAACGAAATCAGGAAAGCCAAAGAAGAGTGGATGAACAGCAGATTGAGGAACTGAGGGAATTATTAAACAAACATGACTACTTCAGTGCATACAAAAAGATTAAGGAAGGCACAAATATAAAGAAAAAATTCACTACAACTCTAGTAGATGATAACAACTAAATAGTAGGTATCTAGCCCAGAAAATGTAGGAAATATATGGGAAAAATACATGAAGATCTGTTTGATGACGAGAGAACAGAACCACAAATGAATATAATACAAGACACTACCTACTTGCTATATTAACAAAGGAAGTTACAAAAACAATCAATACGGCAAGGCCACGAAAGGCCTCAGGTCCAGATGAGATATATTTAGAGATGACAAAACTTATCGATGAAGAAAATCTTCAGTCTTTAACACTACTATTTAGCAAAATATATACTACTGGAATCTTCTCAGAAGACTAGCCTAGATTGACATTTATACCTATACCCAAGAAAAATAAAGCAAATAGATGCTCACAGTTCACGTTAATTAGCCTGATGAGCCATTTTCTGAAAATTTTACTTAAAATTGTACATCAACGTATATACAGAGAATGCGAAAGAAATCTGAGCGCCAATCAATTTGGATTTCGTATGAGGCTTGGTACGAGGGAGGCATTATTTCGCCTCCAGATATTATTAAAAAACTGCCGAGATCAACGAAAAGAGGTATTTCTCTGTTTTATCGACTACGAAAAAGCGTTTGATCGAGTAAAACACACAGAACTCATAGAAACCCTAACACAACATGGTATAGACCATAACACGGTGGCTCTTATTAAAAACCTATATTGGGAACAAAGGGCATCGATTAAAATAGACAATCGTATGACAGCAGAAATGTCAATAAAAAGAGGAGTTCGCCAGGGCTGTGTACTTTCTCCACTATTGTTTAATATATATTCCGAAAAAAAAAAATCTTCCAAAATGTCCACGATAATATTGAAGAAGGAATAAAAATCAACGGAGAATATGGAAACAACTTAAAAAACGCAGACGACACCGTCATTATTGCGGACAGTGCTGAAGATTTGCAACGACTTTTGAATGCCATAACCAGAGAGAGAGAGAGAGATAGCTTGGTACTGAATATAAACACAAATAAAACAAAAGTAATGGTCGTTACACGTGCACTGAATGCCGATATTAATATTCGTATCTACAACAAACAGAACTCATACAAAAATTCCAGTATCTTGGTTGCTGCATAACAAACGATTTTGACTACGAATTTGAAATACGTGCTCGTACAGAATATGCTAGGTCCGCTTTTCAAAGAATGGACTACTGCGTTAATGAACTACCTAAATCTGAGGTCATAATGGGCGGGGCTGACATGGCAATACGACTATTAATATTTTCTGTGTCTCGTTGCGCATCAGTACCGTTAGCTCTTTATATATTAGTTGTACTTCATGAATTGGCACATCCAATGTAAAATTTTCGGCTGTAGACTCCATTTTGCCCAGAAAGCTGCAGTGACCTTCTTCATCTTGGTTTCGAGATGTTCCTTCCATGAAAGTTTAGAGTCCAAGATCACTCCTAGGTATTTCACTGACTTACAAAGTGACAAAGCTTTACTACAGACAGTAAGCTCTTTGGTAGGTCCGATGGCCCTTCTCCGAGTCAACGGAACTACAACTACTTCTCAGGATTAACCCCAAGTGACTGCTTCCGGCACCATTACATAACGAGCTCGAGCTTCACCTTTGAGACCTCGTTCACCGTTCCCGGGAAGAGCCCCTTAACCAGTATAACTATGTTATTGGCGTAGGATTGTGTATATATATCTTGTTCGGATAGTCGCTGAAGAAGGCCGTCAACCATCAGGTACCACAAAAAGAGGAAAAGACTCCTCGCCTCAGGACAACCACACGAGATGCTGACACTCAAACGCAACAACCGTTTCGGTATGCAGGTATCTGCATCTGAAAAAGCAGGGCCCGGATCCACCCGAACAAGCATCAGTTAACCCCATGCCTTTCCGCAGCATTACACACGGTAAACAAAGTAGCACAACTAAAGGCGCCCTCAATATCCATAAATATACCTAGTGGTGAAATTCCATTTCACTTGAGATTAATTTTTAACCATGACCATATTGAATTTCTTAGAAGGAATAAAGAAATATATTTAACAGTACTTCTAGGGGTAGGAAACCTGCGCTACCTGCCTACATAATTTGTATATTATCAAACAGTTCAGAAAAAGCTATTACTAAAGTCGGTCGCAAAATCTCGTAAGCTAACCTCGCTAGCTCGCAAATACGCGCTTCGTTTATTAATATATTATATGTATTTGTAACTAAGTAGTTACACTCGCATCGCATGATTCATAAAAATTATCAAGCCAAACATTTATAGCAATCAATGTTTCATAAAACCGCAATTATAGTTTCCTTATACTTATGAACAGTTCATCTATTCAAACCAGCAGTCTAGCGCTTACTTCACCCTGTAGATAAGTCACAAGACTTTCTAGCCTGGCAGGCGTATTGACATTTATGCAAAGGGCTACCTCCATCACGTATGAATCGGTCTACCAGTTTCTCTAGAGCCTTTAGATGGAATGATTAAAGACTGATTGGTCGGAACGATTTAGCAAGGGTAAAATCAGTTTTATCCGGTTTAAGAATAAATACGACCCTAATCCTCCTCCAGGGTAAAGGAATATACCCTACCGCAAGACAGGCCCCTAAAGTATACTGACTAGTGTGGGAGCAATAAGGTCTTTCTTCAGTTTACTGTTTAAACTGTTCCTTGGTCTCTGGTGTGAACAAGTGGATCCATGTTTCGTCATCAGTCACAAAGCGGCGCAAAAACTCATACGGATTGCGCTTAAATGGTGCCAAACACTGCTCTTAAGTGGTCTGACGGTTGAGTATATGGGCCGGAGAACCCATCGCACTAACAGCTTTCTTATGCCCAAAATTTCAAGTAGGATGTGACCCAAATTGTCTGTGGAGATGTCTCAACTATCTCGCGCAAATTTAATCGGTGGTCTACTAATACGAAATTCTGAATTTTTGTCACACTATCTACCGTGGTAATCGTTTTTGAGACAACTGGGCATGACCTATCAAGAACCTAAGTGTGATCACGTTAAAACTCGTTATAACAATTTTTGGACGGTTGTCATCGAAGGAGAAGAGTCACAGTACACAGCACCCAAGCGCTCTTAGATTTCACTGTGCGATTTACCTTAAAAAAAAAATATTGCCACAGTTGCGCCATAGCGCGGCGAGGCTAAGTACTTATCGGTATAATCAACAAATATATTCGTTGGTATAATGTTGAAAAAAGAAAATACACATAACTTTATTTAATTTTTTTTATTAAGACTTTTTTACAAAAAATATTCAAACATCAAATTAGGTATAGATGTAAACGTATACAAAAATTTAAGTACCTTACTCAGAGTTTTTAACGTCTATGAAATTAAGCTAATATCGGTTTAACCTATTAAATTTCATGTCAATGTTCATAAAAAATGAATTAAAAGCATGAAGTTTTCTTTACTGAAACTATCATTCACGAAAGTAAACCCTTGTCTACAACATTATTTAGTTTGTCACTCAGAAAGTAGATAATGAATAATTTTTTTAATTAACATTGTAAATTGTTGAAATGTTAACTCTATTTTTTGATTTGCTCTTAAAATTATTAGTAAAAATAATCAAATCAGGAGCTTTTCATTTCAGATCCAATACAATATCAGTGTTTATATTTTGTTATTTCAATAATAAAGGTCTCTAATATAACTCAGCTACTAGCTAATATAACCGTCTGCTACAATTGATTGTCCAGGGAAAAATAGACAGTAAGCGAGGGCCAGGCAGGAGAAGACACTCGTGGCTCCAAAATCTGCGGAAGTGGTTCGGGCTCACATCGGTCGAACTATTCAGAAGCGCCACAAACAAGATCAAAATTGCCAGGTTAATAGCCAACGTTCGCAACGGACAGGGCACTTGAAGAAGAAGAAGAATATAACTCAAAACAAAAGTTAAATATCTTTAACAATTTAAATATTCTTATAACAAGACCCCTAACAGCTTGTTTGCTGATATTTGTGGCCTTCCAGGTTATCTAGTTGTTTAGAAATAGATGTCTAGTATGTATTGTACCTGATAGAGCTACAATTTTTTCCTTAATCTGGTTCTCAGCTAATAATCTAAACTTCACTTCTAAAGTTACATCATAGGTACCATCGACACTTTTTCTTTTACCTCAAAATGTGCTGTTAATTTCTTGAAATATTTAATTCGTCTTAAATATTTTAAAACAACGTAAGTTAAGAAAACATCATAGCTAGGACGCATACTGAGAAATGACAAGTACCTTCTTCTTCTTCGGGTTCCTTCTCCTAGCGGAGGTTGGAAATCATCATCGCTATTTTAACTTTGTTGGCCGCATTTCTGAATAATTCTAATGAGCTGCAGCCGAACCACTCTCTCAAATTTCTTAGCCAGGACATTTTGCGTCGTCCTGGGTTTCTCTTCCCTTGTATCTTCCCTTGCATAATCAACCTCAGTAATACGTACTTCTCACCCCTCATTAAATGTCCCAGATATTGAATCTTTCTAATTTTAACAGTTTTTATGACTTCACA